CAAAGGCACATGAGATTAGTGTTGACTATAAGGTCACCTTCGGTTCTGTTGATCCTCCATAGCACCTGAGATATGTGTTGACTATAAAGGTCACCCTCGGTACTGTTGATCGTTACAAAGCACCTGAGATAAGTGTTGACTATAAGGTCACCCTCGGTACTGTTGATTGTTCCAAAGCACCTGAGATATGTGTTGACTATAAAGTCACCCTCGGTACTGTTGATCGTTCCAAGACACCTGAGATATGTGTTGACAATAAGGTCACCTCGGTACTGTTGATTGTTCCAAGGCACCTGAGATATGTGTTGACTATAAAGGTCACCCTCGGTACTGTTGATCGTTCCATAGCACCTGAGATATGTGTTGACTATAAGGTCACCCTCGGTACTGTTGATTGTTCCAAGGCACCTGAGATATGTGTTGACTATAAAGGTCACCCTCGGTACTGTTGATCGTTACAAAGCACCTGAGATATGTGTTGACTATAAGGTCACCCTCGGTACTGTTGATTGTTACAAGGCACCTGATATATGTGTTGACTATAAGGTCACCCTTGGTTCTGTTGATCGTTCCAAGGCACCTGAGATATGTGTTGACTATAAAGGTCACCCTCGGTACTGTTGATTGTTCCAAGGCACGAGAGATATGTGTTGACTATAAGGTCACCCTCGGTACTGTTGATCCTCTATAGCACCTGAGATATGTGTTGACTATTAAGGTCACCATCGGTACTGTTGATCGTTACAAAGCAACTGATATATGTGTTGACTATAAAGGTCACCTTCGGTACTGTTGATCGTTACAAAGCACCTGAGATATGTGTTGACTATAAGGTCACCCTCCGTACTGTTGATTGTTCCAAAGCACCTGAGATATGTGTTGACTATAAAGGTCACCCTCGGTACTGTTGATTGTTCCAAGGCACCTGACATATGTGTTGACTATAAAGGTCACCCTCGGTACTGTTGATCGTTACAAAGCACCTGAGATATGTGTTGACTATAAAGGTCACCCTCGGTACTGTTGATCGTTACAAAGCACCTAAGGTATGTGTTGACTATAAAGGTCACCCTCGGTACTGTTGATCGATACAAAGTTCCTGAGATATGTGTTGACTATAAGGTCAGCATCGGTACTGTTGATCGTTCCAAAGCATCCGAGATATGTGTTGACTATAACATTGTTGTGTCTGTGTTACTAATGAAGCCAGAACTTCTGACTCTATTATGTAACCCGCAGTTTTATCTCCAAATAGATTTACAGAAAAAGATGATAATAAACGTAGACTTGATGTAAATAAATTTACAAAATCACTGCACTTTTCTTGTATCCCTGGTGCTTTCGACTGGAGAACCGTCGTACACAAGCATCGCACTCCGAGGCAGGTGGGGAGCAAGAAGGTGAACTGTGGTTTATTTTTATCAATAGTACCGCTTAATTCGACGCTAGGGGCCGTCTTGACCTTGTTATAGGGTTTGAATGATTCGTTCATTGTTGAAGACCCTACATCAACTGTCAAGATGAAGAACAGGAATAAAAGCCCTGTTCATTGATAATGGTTTCTGTGTATTGTGTGCGATTTTGTCCCATGTACATTTACTCCATATCCTTTCATTTTCTATTGATAAAAAAGCGAAGCTTTTCCGTCAATATCAAATTCCCCGAGGGACGAAAAATATATGAAATATAACTAAAAAATACTACTGTCTGGCGAGAGTCTTAATTTGGGAAAGGCACATGAACATTCTGTTGTGTTAAACTTGGTTTTTTTTTTTATTTATCAGCGGAATATTAAGAAATAAAATAATTATAAAGTATGATACCAATGTGTTAGAAAAGCCCTTAATTTAACAACACCGGTTTGATAGGCAATTTAACAACACCGGTTTGATAGACAATTTAACAACACCGGTTTGATAGGCAATTTAACAACACCGGTTTGATAGGCAATTCAACAACACCGGTTTGATAGGCAATTCAACAACACCGGTTTGATAAGCAATTTAACAACACCGGTTTGATAGGCAATTTAACAACACCGGTTTGATAGGCAATTTAACAACACCGGTTTGATAAGCAATTTAACAACACCGGTTTGATAAGCAATTTAACAACACCGGTTTGATAAGCAATTTAACAACACAAGTTTGATAGGCAATTTAACAACACCGGTTTGATAGGCAATTTAAGAACAGACAAAACAATAATAACTAAAACTATGTCAAAGAATTCTATCAATTTCTGATGAGTTAATAGAAATAAGAAGATGTGGTACGAGTGCCAATGAGACAACTCTCCATCCCAGTCACAATGTGTAAAAAGTAAACAGTTATAGGTCAAAGTACGGCCTTCAGCACGGAGCCTTGGCTCACACCGAACAGCAAGCTATAAAGGACCCCAAAATGACTAGTGTTAAACAATTCAAACAGGAAAACCAACGGTCTAATCTATATCAAAAACGAGAAACGAGAAACACTAAAGAACCACATCAACAAACGACAACCAAAGAAAAAACGGCTTCCTGACTTAGGACAGGTGAAAACAAATGCAACGGGTTTAAACGTTTTATCAGGCGCCAACCTTCACCGTAACCTGAAAAAGTAGTGTAACATTACAACAAAGAAAGACACATTAGTTAAGCCTTTTTTGCTGATATTTATAATTTGTTCTTGTATTGTGTAGTTACAACACTACCCTAGGTTACGTGGAGAGCTGATCGCTCACGGAAATGTTTAATCCCATCATATATAGTCTTTATGTTCCTATCACAAATCAGTCATTTTCGTTGGTTACTGTTTGTCATTATTACAATGTATCAAATTTTTTTCAATAGCCAGATAGGAAGTAGATATTTTTTTATTTGAGATTTTACGTATCAGCTTTCTTTTTATGACGTCATCATTAGCACACATTTTGATAGTTCTTTGATTTCAATGAAAACATACATGAGAATCCACTACAATCATATTTAAACAGATTTGCAATAATTTAAAAGAAATCGCTGGTGACTCGACGAAATTTAATTTCCCTAACCGTAAGGTAAATAATGTATTGATCCCTTGAAGAACTTTCATAACCTGTCAGTATTGGAAAACGTGGAAAAGCGTGATTACAACGTGATAACAACAAATCAGCAGTGTGATTACAACGTGGTTACAACGTGGTTATTACGTGTCACCAGCGTGATTACAACGTGGCATAATGTCAGTTGTTATCGTTGGTTGCTGACTGTCATATTTGTTTTCCATTTAATGTTTTGTCATGCATTAAGTTGTTGGTAACTATGTTTTAATTGTTCTACTTTTTTTCATGTCAGGCTTTTTATTTAGATGATTTTACATTATGGGTTTTGCTTATTGCTGAAGGTCGTACTGTGACCTAATATTGCTTAAACGTACGTCATTTACATTTTGGTGGCAATCAACCTACATCTTATTTTACATTAACGTCATTTTGATACAGCTGTTGTGACCTAAGCTAGTTTCCCACATTCCATTCTTTTCATATTGTGTGCAGTCTTTTATTTCTTTGTTTAAGTTGTTGGTCATCCTGTTAGTAGTGTTAAAGTTATTGGTCATTATGTTAGTAGTGTTTAAGTTATTGGTCGTCCTGTTAGTAGTGTTAAAGTTATTGGTCGTCCTGTTAGTAGTGTTTAAGTTATTGGTCATCCTGTTAGCAGTTTAAGTTATTGGTCGTCCTGTTAGCCTGCTATTAGTGTTTAAGCTATTGGTCATCCTGTTAGTAGTGTTTAAGTTGTTGGTCATCCTGTTAGAAGTGTTTATGTTATTGGTCATCCTGTAGGTAGTGTTTAAGTTATTGGTCGTCCTGTTAGCCTGTTATAAGTGTTTAAGTTATTGGTCATCCTGTTAGTAGTGTTTAAGTTATTGGTCGTCCTGTTAGAAGTGTTTATGTTATTGGTCATCCTGTTAGTAGTGTTTAAATTATTGGTCATCTTGTAAGCCTGTTATTAGTGTTTAAGCTATTGGTCATCCTGTAGGTAGTGTTTAAGTTATTGGTCATCCTTTTAGAAGTGTTTATGTTATTGGTCATCATGTTAGTAGCTGCGCTGTGCAAGGTTTTTTATTGACTGTTTTACTTCGTACGATATATGGATTAGATAGGTAAAGGGGGGTCTGATTAGATAGGTAAAGGGGATCTGATTAGATAGGTAAAGGGGGGTCTGATTAGATAGGTAAAGGGGGATCTGATAAGTGAGGAACAGGGGAATCTGATTAGAAAGGTAAAGGGGGTCTGATTAGATAGGTAAAGGGGGATCTGATTAGATAGGTAAGGGGAATCTGATTAGATAGGTAAAGGGGGGTCTGATTAGATAGAAAAAGGGGAATCTGATTAGATAGGTAAAGGGGAATATGATTAGATAGGTAAAGGGGAATCTGATTAGAAAGGTAAAGGGGGATCTGATTAGATAGAAAAGGGGGATCTGATTAGATAGGTAAAGGGGAATCTGATTAGATAGGTAAAGGGGGATCTGATTAGATAGGAAAAGGGGAATCTGATTAGATAGATAAAGGGGGATCTGATTAGATAGATAAAGGGGGATCTGATTAGATAGGTAAAGGGGGGTCTGATTAGATAGGTAAAGGGGAATCTGATTAGATAGGTAAAGGGGGATCTGATTAGATAGGAAAAGGGGAATCTGATTAGATAGGTAAAGGGGGATCTGATTAGATAGGAAAAGGGGAATCTGATTAGATAGGTAAAGGGGGATCTGATTAGATAGGAAAAGGGGAATCTGATTAGATAGGTAAAGGGTGATCTGATTAGATATGTAAAGGGGAATCTGATTAAACTCAATTGCCCTGTGTTGCTGTTCCTAGTCAAGCTTCCATGAACAGCTTAACATATTGCCTTCAATTGTGGACAAAGCTTAGTGTCATGTTACTCTCAGCTCTACATTGTTAAACTCATATTCACATGTTTTATATACTAAAGAGATGGAATTACGAAATAGTACGACTAACATAAGGAAACAAACGAAATGTATGAAATTGGATATAATAGTCATATAACAAAACAAGAAATATCCCCTTCTAACATGACAAACCGAGGCAGCAGTATACTGTAACATATATGGGTCAAATATCATCGGGTACTTTATCATTCAAAACATAAAACGTATCATTGGCAAAACATTCAATGATTTGTGTGCTATAATTTTTCATATATGTCTTATATATTTTTTATTTGTGAGTTTGAGCAAACAATAGTTCAGGGTGTTTCATAACACATCGGACATATCCTTTACGATGTCACTGTTTCTTTTTCCAATGCTGCGAAAGGATGATCCAGCAAATCTTGACCTCTTTTCGTCATTTTCACTTAACTCCAAACTACTTCTCTTTTTACCAATATTTCTAAAAGCCAATCTATCATCTCTTGCAAATAAAGAATCTCGTTTGCCTATATTACGAAAGCTCATTCTATTATTTCGTTCGAATAACGGGTCTCTTTTCCCAATATTTCTGAAGGCCATTCTTTCGTCTCGCTCAAAAATTGAATCTTTTTTCCCGATATTACGGAAAGACATGCGCTCATCCCTCCCAAATGATGAATCTTTCTTTCCAATATTGCGAAATGCCATTCGATCGTCCCGACCAAAATATGAATCCTTTTTTCCAATATTCCTGAAAGCCATTCTATTAATTCGGTCAAATAAATCATCTCTCTTCCCAACATTTCGGAATGAAAATCTTTTACCGATGTTTCTGAAAGCCATTCTTTTGTTTCCTTCAAATTGAACTTTTCTTTTCCCTACATTGCGGAAATATGATCGCGGAAACCGGAAGTCACGTTTGGTAACATCATATTCATCGTTGTCATCAGAAAGGGGATTGAAAGCATATCTTTTGTCAATATTCCGAGAGAATGAGCTACCGCGCTTACCAATATTTCTGAAACTGTAAACACCACCTCTTTTTCCTACATTTCTAAAAGAGTACGCACGTTTTCCGATATTCCTGAGTGTAATTGGATCTTTAAGGCCTTGTCTTTGTAACATCCATAGCGCTAAATAAGATCTGAAACAACTTAGACTGTCTCTGAATCCAATACATGGTGATCGTTTATGCTTCGCATTGCCGGGGTCGTCGGTCATTGGCTCAATCGTGTCTTCGCCGGAAATGTCAGGAAGATCAGCATCAGGACTAACGGGAAAGTTTGTGTGAGGAATATTTACTTCGAACGTGTCATCCCTCTGTTTGGTATCTTTTTCTAAGTCTTTACGTATTAAAAAGTCATTAACTTTCTCATATAGTTGGCTTATAAGTTTGTCGTTCAAATGTAAATCTTTTTTCCATTCATCCAAGTCTGGCTCTCCTGAAATTAAGAAAATGTAGTCATTTATACATCTTATAATTTTAACTAAATTAATCGTTTATATATTTCATATCTTTCAACCATATGTTTCATAACGTTATAATGTATGTAAAAGTTTGGATTTCTGATTGATTGATTGATTGATTGATTGATTAATCGAAGCCTTATTAAATGGTTGATTGATTTGATTGAAGATTGAGTGATAAGTTGATTAATTTTCAAAGCTAAAAGGGAGAACATTTCTAAAAGATCATCTCAGTATCATTTACTATTCTTTGAACTATGCTTATTTTATTTTATTAAGAAGAAAAAAGGTAACAAGGAGACATTTAAAACTCAAATTTACTCACTCGTGAAAATCTTTTTTTTTCTTTCGAACTGTTTTGTATTTATAACAAATAGAGATTTTAATAACGGTTTTGTTTTAAGTTTTAACTATTTGATCTTTTACGCTATTAAAATTGATAATTTAAAGTATAATATGAATATCATTGCAGTTTAAATGCAAATTATCGTAAATTGTATATTTCGTGAGAATACGAGAAGAGCTATTCATCAATTTATATCATATAGCACAGCAATGGAATAAATCAGATCAACTTGAAACAAAATAATTCTCTTTGACATTTTAAATTGTTTTATTTTAGCAAATCATGTAGGGATTTTTGATATCAACTAGTTCACAATTTAAAGAACCTGATTCCTATTAATAGGGAAGACACTGTAAATCACGTGCGTTTGAAGCAGTCAGTTTTTAAAGCATTAATGTGAATCAAAACAAAACAAATCTGAAAAATTTAAAATCTTGGAAAATATATATTCGAAAGACTCAAATATATGAGTGATTTTCAAGAGAGTTGTGTCCCTTAATTACCCTAGGTCAACTCCTGAGTTATGTCTCTTAATTACCCTAGGTCAACTTATTACTAGTCGTTTACAACACATAATATTTATCTTTTTTTATCAATCAACACACTTCCTTTAACAGTTATTGAGCAGTCTTCTTGACCTAGAATTAATTTTTTTACTAGGTTTTCCTACAAAGGATTGTATTGAGATCTGATGAAATCAGTTTTACATCACACAGAAAGTCCATAGGACTGATATAGAAATGGTAAACTCTAGTATTTTAGCCATTGAAGAAATACTATCCACCCTAAAATTAAGAACGACGATATCAACAACTACAGACCACAATGCGGGATTCAATTTTGAGCTAATTCCCAAATATGATAAAAGGCCCATAAATAGCAAAAGATGAAACGAATAAGTAGTAGTTTTTCATTTTTGAATTGTTTCCCTGTTTGTTGGCTGTGCACCTTTTATAGTTTAGTATACGTTATGTGTTTACCTCATTGTCGCAGGACGTACAGAAAAAAAAATTATGGTATTACTCTTTTTGTGAATACTTTTACCATGGAGGTATCTTTAACTATTCACAATGAACGGTAACATTAAACTTGCCCTGTTCCAATAACAACTGTGCTGAACATGTCATAGTAAAATAGGTTTTGCAACATGAGAACTACATACCAGCTCGTTAAATATAGAAAGTAAAACACTAACCTTATTCTCATTTGATACACACTATAATAGCAAAATTTGATACAAAACAAAATGTCATTAAAATGTGACATTTTGCTGTAAAGTTATAAACAAGAGAATAAGAGTTCAAGTTTCCCTCCCACTCAAGGTCTTGAAATAAATCTTTGAAATATTTCTTTTAAATGGAAAGTCCATTCTTCTTTTTTTCAAGTTTTTGGATTTAAAGAATGTAAAGCTAAAACAAAAAATCACCAGCCTAGCAACAATAAAAATTATCCAAATAACCACTTAAGATTATGTGTTGTAAGAATAAGATTAAAACGGCTACTTATCACGCCATTTAATCACTTCCTGTGCAGAACGGATATCGACCGGTTTACAGGCGAGGTGAATACATCACAGTTATCTGATTGGATCGTTCAAGTTCATTGTAACAATCTGTAAACGGGTATCATCAAGACAGAATCGAATTTCGTAATTGAAACATAATTATTATTTTTAAATTCTGTAATTGCAGGCACTTTATACATATGATAAACACAAAAAAAACGAACAAAGTGCAAAAATAAATTTCTTTTTCTCGTCGGTTCCTATATATCTTCTTTTAACACATATTTGCAGCTTTTTATAGCCACTTCAAGTGAATATCAGTTTTGTTTGTCAAAACTCGATTAAACAACATATTTACCGAGACAAAAGACAGTAATTGTTTTATTCGATATTCCGGGAGAGAACATGTATCTGATGACAGTAATTTACCAATATCAATAATCAAACGAGTTAACCATAATTATACACGTGAAAGCACGCGACGTTTTGTGCGGTGAATATACTTTTTCCTCGGATGAATATGCTGGTTTATTCAAAATCCACTTCATATAGAAAAAAACGTACTAAAGTTTTATCAATATGGAGTAAACATATATAGTACATGTTTTTCCTGTATTAAACTGACATACACATTTCTTGTTTTAAATATGTGCTTGAATATATACTCCTTAAACTAAACTGATTATGTTTTTGCTTAAATTTTCCAGTATTGAAATATTATCGATAGTTTTAGGTCATCTGATCAGGGTCCAAAGGTTGGAACCAGCGAGACAACAGACTCAACTTAAAAAAAACTTTTTTTTTATCTAAAATGTGTGCTGGAATACGCCTTTAATTGCACATGGAAAATATTTGAATACCAGGAATATCCTATCCTGAAATCCTCAACTTGTTTTCAAAGTATTTAATTTAAAATGGAGCCTGGCTGTAAATGCTGTAGCTTGTTTGTGTATACACTTTTGGTTGTTGGTGCGTACACTTTTGGTTGTTGGTGCCTACAATTGGTATTGTTTTGTTGTTGGTGCGTACACTTGGTATTGTTTTGAGTCATGCCTCTCGTATTTTTCCGAATCTTTATTTTTGACGCTCTTGGCTTTGAATATTCTGTTTGTTTCTATTATGTTAGCGGTTACATTACACATAAAACTTAAATATCAAATTTATCTATTGTAATATTTATTAATGTCAAATGTAGAAATTAAGTACAAGAAGATATTCTATTTATTAATTTTTCAAAACAACAAAGGCATTGACATTCTGAGATTGTATGTATGTACCAATAAAATTTCTTAAATTGACTTTTGAAATCTGAGGCACAATTGCTCATTTGCATGATTAATAAGATATTGAAAATATATGAATGAAACAAAATGTCATTTGTACTATAGATGTTTTATTATACCTTAGGGATGGCAATATATGTCCTAAAAAAATAATATATGCGTAGTTTATAAACTCAATTTTTCAGTCTAATCGAAACATATCACTATTATATCATTATGTAAAATTTTATTTCTATTTCATATTTATTTCATTACATTTGTGAAAATTAACGGTACTGAATTCCTTGCGGAGTTTATAGTTTTTCTAATTAGATTTATTTCAAAATGCATTGATGGGATATTTTTTCTATAAATGTGATATTGATTTAAGTTAGTAAATTAGTTGAAATGCAACTCCTTAATCAAATTAAACTATTCTAAAAGATTTAATATATAAAGTGGTCTCAATAAATTTCATTTTCCTTGAATTAGTTATAAACGTGTTGACAAAATCCCAATAGTCGTCACCTATTTTTTTGTTGATGATTTATAAAGTATACATGTGTAGTTGATGTGCGAGAGCATGGTTATATTTTGACGCTTTTACTTACAAAGATATATTCTTAACTTAAACATTTAGTCTTCAAAGTATGAGAGCGTACCATTGATTGAGATATTTATACCGTCGTCATCGAGAATTGAAGTGTTATAGCTTATCTTTTCATATGAATAAAAAGATATGTGGAGCATTCTTCAGTGAGACAAAATCCCGTAGAAACACAATACCAAACGACATCAAGAGGTCATCTAGAGGTCATCATACGGTTTACATATATAATTGACGTTTTATATTTTTGACTTTTCGAACTTTTGGTTACGAGCGTACATGAGGGAGGTTATTCCAGTAAAACGTGTCGTGTGCACAGAAAACGTTTGGTCATGAGCGTACTTGACGGAGGTTATTCCAGTAAGACGTGTCGTGTGCACAGAAAACATTTGGTCACGAGCGTACATGACGGAGGTTATTCCAGTAAGACATGTCGTGCGCACAGAAAACATTTGGTCACGAGCGTACATGGCGGAGGTTATTTCAGTAAAACGTGTTGTGTGCACAGAAAACGTTTGGTTACGAGCGTGCATGGCGAAAGTTTTTCAATAACCACGTGTTGTAAGCACAGATTTGTTTTTACTCGGTCAGGGTCAAATTTTGAAAAATGAACCTTGTGGACGTATAAAAATTGTCTAAAGCAACTTTCATCGGACTAATATAAACGTTTGTTTCAAAAATAAATCTTTATCAGCCTTAACATTCAAAGTTGTTTTTATTGATACAACCTACTCACCTCCCGAGAATGAAATATTTTCTAAAAGAAGTAAATTAATAATTGTGTATGCAGATATAGCGATTATTTAGCAAGTTATAGCAGAACATGACAGTAATTTCACAGACTGTGATTGATCAAGTTGTGTTTTAATCAATGACCTCCAAACTATAGCCGAATAAAAAGTCAACGACAATCAAAATTTTGACATTTCGAACTGAAATCTCGTAGCAGACGATATTTTGTATTCCATATCCAATGGGAACTAGGTGATTTATTTTCTAAATTATATAGTTGAAATTGATAATTTGTTTCCATTAATTCCTTTTCTAATCGAAATTTTGTTATAAATTAATGTATTTGTTTAGGGTAAATTTACATTGTTAAACATATATAACACAAGGTATGATTTATTTTGTACACGTGATAAAATTATTACCTAAGATTGAAATATATTCAATTAAACTTTTATATGAATAAAAGAGGATGACAGGTCTTCATTTTTGTATCATATAATGGTTTAGGCCATTTAACTCTATTC